AATCTATGCCAGAATTTATTCATATCACATCTAAACAAACTCTCCAGTACTCAGTTTTTTTGATTTATTTATATGGCGACTAGTACATTATTGGATCGTCTCTGTTGAATTATGTTCTGATAGAATATTTAATTCTAATCTTTAGTTCCGGTTGGAACAACTTTTTTCCTTGTAATCCCATCTCCTGTTCCGGCAAATTTTTTTTCATGGTCTCGGTCTCGACCACTAGGACTAAAGTTGGTCCCACATATATTTAGTTCGATCCCGAAAAAATACGAACTGATTCCATCTCTGTTGTATATTGCGATAATATTTTGATGTTATGTTCAATAGTCATTATAGATTGAAAATTTCATGGTTAGATCCAAAATGAAGCAATTCTTTGATGAGTAGTTACAGACTAAGATCTAATATAATGTAAACTGATAAGATAGGTCTACTATATTTTCTTTTATCAGAGATCGTAACAGACGTTTCTGTCTGTAAGACAGAAGAGTAGACCTAATACGGCCATGATCGATTTTATTATTAATTAACAATTATGTTGCCTAAAAAAATATGTATTGGTCAATGTGATTGTTCTTCAAAGGATCATTGAGTTATGAGAAATCTTTGTATTCATTCTGCAATTTTTTGTATGACAATCTATAATTTTATATTCGTAACAAATTAGTATGTATGGAATTAGTAAGAATTTTTAATAGAATGTTTTGTAAAAAAAAGCTATTTTTCTTTGTTTGTTCATTACATTTATTCTTCTCTTTAAAAAAATCTTGACAAATATTTTAATATTTGTTGTAGTTTTTTGTCCTAATCCTGGTCCATTAATAAGTGGACGAATATATGTTGTACTGAAAGATGAACGTGTATCACCATTACCAATTCGAAGTGAATTTCGTTCTTATATACCAAATGTTAGTCATGGTCGAACAATTGAATTTGAATGTAATTCAGGTATGATGATAGCTTAGAGTTTTTGTTTTTGTATATAAAGAATTGCATTTATAATTGTAGGATATGTTCTTCATGGACCAACTGGATTAACATGTAATCATGGTCGATGGATGCCTGCTGAAAGACCACGCTGTATTATTGGTAAATTCTAATTCTACTAGTTTGCAATGAAAAAAATGATTTTTATTTTATCTTTTTTTAGAACATCATGTACAACCAAATATTATCTTTACAGGATAATCATTTTCATGGACAAATGCTCTGTTTTTTGTTTTGAATAATTGAAGCTGGTCTTCATGCTTATCGCTTAACGGCTTCTCTTTCTCTCTTGATAATGCAGATATAAGGAAAAAAAAGATGTTTTATCAATGAATGGCGTTTTATTTCTAATGTTTGTGATTTTATCATTGTTCATTTTTTCTATTTTAGTCAAGAATGATTACATTTTTGTTTTTCTTTGTTTAATTTAATTCAATAAGTGATTGAAAAGTATAAACAAATCTCTTCTAGTTTGCAAGAAATGTAGCAAACGATTATAAAAACAAATAAATAATAAACAACATATACTTCATTAGAAATAAATGATTTGTTTTTTATGAATAACATAATATGATCTCTTTTGAAAATTTATCATTCTCAGTTACTTTTTTATTACAAAAAAGTTTATTCTCTACGATAGTTTGATTGTTTTATGCTATTCTATCTCATATTGTATATTATGTAACGATCCTATTGTCCGAAAAAAAAAGATATCTAAAAGAACAAAATAATGTATTACATAAATACAAGATGGAGAAGTTAATAATAACGGAAGCATCATCCATATTTTCTATTTATTTTGATCACATTTGTAGATAGAAAACTATTTGGAAGATTCGACCATTCTTATAAAAGTTTGCGATAATCATCAGTTTGAATCAATACTCTTAACGATTGCGGATATATGAGAAGAGACAATTAGAATGAGTCATTCTAACGTAAAGTCTTGATCAGTTTGCAAGGAAATCGATGGAAACGAAGATGAAACATTCATAATAAAAGTTGAAGTCTGTACTCAGTGAACATGAATATTTTATACATATCGTGACACAAAGCTCATAACATGTCTCGCCCATCCAACACAAAATAACAACGTAATGAAAATTGTTTGAGAAACGTCCTCTAGAAATTAGTACATATCGCGGAGAAGCTTAGTGTTATCCGATTCTCTCGACAGCTTTGAAGATTAGATCTAATGTTCTCATGTGATTTTATAGAGAATTGAACAATGAATCATTTGAAATCAAGCGTAGTTTTCTACCTACAAATGTGGACAAGATAAAAAGAATGTTATTTTAATTTACATATTGTATACATCAATATACATTTTCATTTCTTTTTTTTTACATTTGTGTGTAACAGATGAACGTAACATTCGGTTATATTAATTTTGACTTGTCTCTATTTTCTTCCGTAGTCGACATTTATTTTTTGTATTTAAATAAAAGAGACATTTATCAATTCTGATGATGATATTTTCTCAGATGAAATGTTATATGTCAATATTAATTAAACTCTGATAAATCAAAATGAATACTAAATTGAATTGAGTAAAAAAAAAACGAATCTCTCAAGAGAAAGACCGAAATACAATAAAACTTTGACGAAGAAAACAGAAAGTTATAGATATATGAGTGGTTTCATTTGTTAGTGGTGTAACACAAAAAAAGAACAAAGGTTATTCTTATTGAACAGAACGTTTTTTTTTTAGGAATCTTCAACCTACAAAATATCTCTACGGAAAATTTGTCCTGAACATGCTTAAGCTTTTTCAAAAAATTTAATTTATTCGTTGTTAGCGACGTGAGTGAGAACGAATATAGAAACGCAAAATTCTCTTGTAACTGAATAAAAAGTTCAAAAACCTATGCTCAATGGTACAAGCCTTTATTGAGGATCTCGAGCTGAGATCAAAACAAAAAGTCTCGTTCTGAGACACGAGCAGACCTCTAACAAGCTGGCTTTCGGGAGGTGATTTTGTTTAGAGTTCGATCTTACTGAAAATTTCATCATAGATATAGTTTGTAGCGTAGACTCCATTCTAAAGCTATCCAATAATGATATTTTTATTAATTAGAAAAAAAATAACTCTTATAAAGGATCAAAATCATATCGAAGATGATCACGTTGTAATTATCTTGGCATAGGTTTCTCTATAAACGTGTAAATCTAATTTTTTTTATGCTGTAGATATGATGTTCTTCAGCTTAGTTACTGTTGTATACTGTAGATATTGTCTGAGAACAAAATTTAATTATAAATTCTATTAAGACTTATAGGAGAATATTTATAGCTGATTCCGATTATAATATAGCCTGACAATATCTGACTATTCTTTCATTTAATTAAATACGGATTGTTCGAGATAGAGTCTTTCTATAGAAACTAATCTATCAAACTGAATATAACGTTTTTCTATTGCAATGTATTTAGTGGTAGCTACATATACTAGTTCCTGATCGAAGATGGAGTTTGAATACGTACATGAACTTTTTTTTGGTTTTGTATTTATCTATGTATAATCGTATATGTTTTCAATCTGTATCATAACTTTGAAAATGTTTGTAAATTTTCATAGTTTTATTTATTAAGATCAAAACTTCACATCAATCAGGCGAACTGAAATAAAAGAAGAATTGATAAAAAAAAATCATATCTAAACAACATATGGATGCTGATGACCATCTGGATCACCAAAAGGAAAACTTTTGTTTAAACAAATACAGAATCTATTTGTTAGTCAATGTATCAAGTAATTCCTTAAGAAGATTTGCAAGATAGATGTTGATTACTTTTGCATGTTGCAATATTTTTTGTTTATATTAATTTTGTATCCAAAATTTAGAACGATTTAAAATATTCGCAAAGCTATTTTTGAAACAAAAGAATCAGCTTATTAACATACATATTGGACGATATGACAAGCATTATCAACGACATGAAATGACTCATGTAATTATAAATAAATGGAACATGTCTTTTAGTATTTTAGATTAATCAATGCAATGCAATGCAGATATTTATAAAATCATTGATTCACTTCCAAATATGACACTTATTCTCTAACGGGTATCTTTGTTCGTATTGTATGCATTGATAAACATGATTATGGTAATAAATGTAATTTTAGTTTAATATTAACTACAACAAATTTCTATTATTTTATTTCAGATTTTTTTTTCTAACAATTTACATAAATATTTATATTTTTGCCGCAAGAAGGAAGTTTTCTTAACATATTGTTTTTGCAAAACATGCACTTTGACAGTAAAGAGCTTTCATGGATAAATTTGCCTCCTATCCATTATAATTGTTTACGAGGGTGTGCGTTCTCTTCATATATAATAAAATGTAGTGAGAAATTCCTGTTTTATTAAGCAGAAATTGTCATCAATCTTTGTTTCTTTTTTGTTCTGCTGAAACAACTCGTGGTGATGATAGTCTTAGTACTAAGTTATATGGATATATTCAGTATTATTTATTGCTTATTTTTTAAAACTAGTCATGTAAAAACATATATGCTATATACAGGAAAATGTTATTTATTATGTTTCTGATGTAGAACATATTTTTTTTTCCTTCGAGATAATTAGTTTCTCAATATTGTTATGTATCTTGTTTTTTTTTTTAATTTTTCTTGAGAAAAGTGCATGATATATTATAAAAATACAAGAAGCACAAAATGAGATCTTCTCACTTCATTATTTCAAAATAGAAATGAGATTGGTTCTTTACTTCTCGTTTACAATCGAAGAAATCCTACATGAACAAAAAACGAGAAAAAGGAAAAAAGTGTATGTGAGTAAAAATAAGGAAAACAAATATAGAATAGCATTGGCTTTATTGAATGCAATAAGAGGAAACCAAGAGATAACAAAAAAAGAAAGAAAGATTTCAACATGTCGAAATATAAGATTATTATAGCTTCTATTTTTTTTTATAGAATAGATTAGAAAACTGAGATGCATACTGTTTCTTTTTATCTTTATTTGAAGATTATTATAACGATGAATATGAAATCAACTAATGGTGCTTCTACAGATAAGGCTATTCTTCGTCGGTATTTGGAGTTACCACAACCTGAAAATAAAGTTATGGCTACTTATATATGGATTGATGGCACTGGAGAAAATCTTCGTGGTAAAAAAAACCATTTACTAATATATTCTCTTTCATGTCTTATTACTTTTTTTTTATTTTTAATTAGCGAAAACTCGAACAGTCCAACGAGAACCAAAATCACCAAAAGAACTATCATGGTGGAACTTCGATGGTTCATCAACAGGTCAAGCTGAAGGTTCAAATTCAGATATTTATCTTAAACCAGTTGCTATTTTTAATGATCCATTTATGCTTGGTCGAAATAAACTTGTTATGTGTGAAACATATAAATATAATAAAGAACCAACTAGTTAGTAGTATTTGTTTTGTATTTACAATTAATCATCTTTTCTACAGGCTCAAATAAACGATTTGGATGTGAAGAAGCTATGAAAGCAGCAGCGAATCAATATCCATGGTTTGGGCTTGAACAAGAATATACACTTTTAGATCGTGATGGTTGGCCATTTGGATGGCCAAAAGGTGGATTTCCTCATCCACAAGGTCCATATTATTGTGGTGTTGGTGCATCACAAGCACTTGGTCGAGATATTGAAGAAGCTCATTATAAAGCATGTTTATATGCTGGAATTAATATAAGTGGAACAAATGCTGAAGTTATGCCAGCTCAATGGGAATATCAAGTTGGTCCATGTGAAGGAATTGATGCTGGTGATCAACTTTGGATATCACGATATTTATTATTACGTATAGCCGAAGAATTTGGTGTTCAAGTTAGTTTTGATCCAAAACCAATTCCAGGCGATTGGAATGGTGCTGGATGTCATACTAATTTTTCTACACAAGCTATGCGTGAACCTAATGGCATTGAGTAAATTATTTTTCTTTATTGAATTATTGTTGAAATACACTTTATGAATTATTCATAGAGCTATTAAAGAAGCAATTAAGTTACTTGAAGTACGTCATAAAACACATATTAAACGATATGGTAGAGACAATGAACGACGATTAACTGGTCGACATGAAACAGCTGATGTAAACCTTTTTTTTCTAATGAATGAATTAAGTTTTTTTTTTTTTTTGTATGTGTATATTTAGATTAATCAATTCAGTGCTGGTATTGCTAATCGAGCTGCATCAGTACGAATTCCAAGACCAGTTTGTGAAGAAAAATGTGGTTATTTAGAAGATCGTCGACCAGCTTCGAATTGTGATCCATATGCTGTGACAGATATTATTGTTCGTACTGTATGTTTGGGCGAAAAAGATCCTGAAGCAATAAATTGATTATTATGCATGATAAGAATTTAGCCGTGCATTTTTTAGTAGACGGAATAATATTTTATGACGTTTTTATTATAATCTGTCATATGTTACGTGTCGCAATTAAATGTTTTTTTTTTATTTCTGTCCGAAATGCTTTTTCATGTGAGTTTTCTCGGTCTTATGTTTATGCATCGATTACAATTGAAGTATTTGGAAAAAAATTGATTTATTTCTTCAGTCGATTAGTCTTTTAGTTAATTGTTTAGGGTAGTTTTTTGGAAATAATTCGATGCTTTTTTTGCACCTTTTTCTTCGTTAATCTTAATTAAATAAAATTTGCATTATTTATGTGTGGTAAATGAAAAAATCTAAATCACTCATCATATTTAGGAAATATAATTGAATTTATTTTGAATAAATTATACCGTGATAAGAGTAATTGCTAAATTCATAACTATTAAAATTTGAGTTGCTACTCTTGTTTTTTTTTCGATAAAGCGAACAACAACTTCGTAGATGTATATCAGTTTAGTAATACCCATTTTAAAAAAGAAAAAAGAATGAGTATTTTTTGAATAACTTTTGATAAAAACTAGATAGAGAGTTTCGGTTTTCACCGTTTAAAAGATGAGATGAAACTACATAGAATCGTCTATACCAGATTTTTTTAACAAGTTGTCTCAGTCTACTATCAAGTTTGTTAAACACGAAAGATTGTTTAATGTAAAAATTTTATAATCTGAACTTTCAAGAGTGCACTAAAATCGTTAACTGAAGATCTATAAATTCTGTAAGTCCGATGTTGTAAACTTTAGCCAATCATGATTTATACACATTTTACTGTATATTAGCGGCAGATTTCTTATAAAAAGTTAACTTTTTTTCTCATTTTTTAACGAAAAATTCACCATATAAATTTATTCCAAAGGCTGAATTTTTTGACGAAATTGGCGAGAGACTCTGAGAAAACTTCTCAAAAAAGTCTGATATAGGCTATTCGATGCAGTTTCACCTTTTCTCTTTTAAACGGTGAAAATCGAACCTCTCTATCTAGTTTCTATCAAAAATTATTCAAAAAATACTCATCCTTTTTCTTTTTTGAAATGGGTATTAGTCGTAATATTTCAAGTTTTCGATGATCGGAGATTATTTGCCGAACGGTGCTATAACTCAGATCAGCTTGTGCTTGAACTTCGTCAACTGTGATATCTAAAGTGATCATTAATATGGCAATAAACCTATTCGAAGTTTTCGGATGTTGCTTGATGATAGATACGTCTAATCATGTTCCGTCTTAAACATCTTCTCGATTTTCACGAATTCATTCATATCCTTTTTCAACTGCTCTGAGAGGTAGAGACTGGTTACCGAAAATAAAATACAGTACAACACGAACTTAAATGCAGAAGTGAACAACACATCCATACCCTCAAGTCCTAATTTTCATTTATGTTGATCTTCAACTCCTTATCTAATAGTAATAGAATAACTATATATGATCTTCATCATCAAGAATCTCATTCAGTGTCATCATCATATCAACAAATCTAGAGAATTATCTTCTAATCATTATGATACTCAATCAAAATTTATTTCATTCACATCCATTCATCATCAAATAATAATTATTTATTTATGTTAGAAAAATAAGAAGTACCAATATCATATTGTTTGCCTTGTTGTTCTAGTCAATTAACAACTAGTATCAAATCTTCTCTATCTGAACTACACATGTTCAAAAGTATTTGCTCAAATGGAAGAATGGTCTATCAATAATATACAGTTCTAACTCCATTAAAACGCTATCCTTAACACACACTAACGAGTTCTAACTCATCATTATCTATTAATCGACAACAACGTCGACTTGAAGAATCAAATCTATATCTATACAGAAAAAAAAACTTTTTCTCTCGATTATCTATTCCTTCTCATTATCCTCAAAATTTTTCATGAATGGAATAAAAAATAAAGCAAATATTGATTGTTCAATACTATCTATTGTTATACAACGTACAAAAACGTATTTAAATTAAGCAATTGATACAATGGAACAATTATTTTCAACATGGTTTAATGAATCTGATCATCATTGTATATATTACTTTAGTTTTGATTAAGCATTTAACATCGCAATAATTTATAACATATGTTTAATGATGAACAACTAACAAATATAAAATCATTAGATGTGACATCTATACCATTATTAACATCGGAAAATTTTTATTCTTTAAATCAAATGATTTTTGTGCAAATTTAACTAATTATATGCAAGATAGATTAAACAAAATTCATATATATCGTTATCTAATAGATTAGAAGTAAATAAAGATTATCTTTAGATGTGATGTATCCTTCACTGACAACTTTGCTATTGTTTTATGACCGTTTCCGTAAAGAAACAAAACGTACGTTTTAAGTCGAAGTTTTGTGGCTCTCTCATCCTCTCATAGCAAAGAGGGTGGGAATGAATTGGGTACATTTCCATAATAATTGACGACAACAACAGATGTCAGATTCTATTCCTAGAGTTTTTTAGCGACAGAAAAAGGCGATGTATGGCATTGAGAACAAAACTTAGACTGTTTTAACATATTTCAAAGCCTTTCTTGAAATTTAAATAGCTCAAAGAATGATGATTAGTAATGTATTAATTTGTCATATTTGTCATTTAATTAACACAAAAAGTATGAACTGATCAAGTTCCAGCTTTCAAAAATAATTACTATCAATAGAACAAAAAATTCTGTTCGAAATATCGAAATAAATAAGACAAAATTATTTCTCTAATAATCGATTATTCTTTGAAGACAATTATCATTTGGAAGCAATTCTCCAGCAGATGTGTTTTGTATTTATATTTAAATTAATTTGAATTTTCTTTTTTTTCTACTTGTTCCATCACCACTCATTCGTCCTATAAGTATATTAATAGTAAAACGAGATTCCATTACTATTAGTTGAGAATCATGTAAAGATGATGACGATAGAAGTGAACTTATTGATTATGTTGTTGAAAAATATGATGCCTCAAGAAGTGTTTGGCAACGTAATGTATATAATGATCCATGTAAATTTACATATACAAATGCTGGATTTGCTGAAAGTGTTGCACATCATTTTCATGTATATGCAGAGAATTGTGTTGGAATGTTACCAACATTAACAACAATTGATTCAATTATTGCTAAAAAGTTCATATACACACACATTCAGATATACCAGAAGAAGACTGATCATTATTAACAAAAATTGTTTCATCGAATTCAATTAAATGTTCATAACAACCACTATTAAGTGATGATGATACAACATTAAGACTAATGTGAGTTAAAGTAAATTATTCATAAGAAAAAAGTTTTGTTTTATTAATTTATCTTCGTATATATAGATTGGATATGTCAATGTTGATATATGTCAATTTACAATAAAAGATTTACTTGAAGAAGATTCTTATTTAATAGAAACATATTCTAAAAATTTTGATGGTTAATCATTGAACAGATTAACCAATATCATTACAATAGGAAATGACACATAATGATACTGATAGTTCATTAATAGAATATTCATTAGAAATGTGCTATGAAAAAAAAGGTACAAGTCATGAATAGATACAAGTACAAATTTTACCAACAATTACAGCTAAATTTTTCGAGTAACAAAATAAAATTAAAATGTGTACTATCATTTTTGTAATAAAGCAGCAAATTCTATTGGATATAGTGGAACAAAAGTAGTTAAACTAGAAAAAAAAAACAAAATAGTAAGTCAATTAATTTACTTTCAACAAATGATCCACTCATTATATTCAATTTTTTAAATGATAAAAGAAAACCATCGTTATCAAGTGTCAAAATGATATTTCATTTTATATTATCAAATAGCGTGATGTTCTTAGAACTAATTAGATTCTAGCAAAAAAAATTCATCAAAATGAATATAATCTTCTTATAAAAGCATTAATTTAAAGTTCAAATTATTGTTTTCGTGCTTGTGCATTAAAATTGAAGATGACTTTTAAAGTGCATGAGTTGAATTGGAATCCTATCATTAAAGATATCATAGGATAAACAGTGCATATACAATTAGATGCAACAGAGAGTGCTTATATTACTAAAATGATGTGATATATACAGAATAACATATGAAATCGATGCCAAAAATAGAAGAGAGAGATTTCTTTGGTGTCAAAGATTTTAACAAAGACAAAACCTATTGTATGTAGTTTCATTAACAAAATTATATGATATTAAAATCGAAAAAGTTAAAGAGTCAAGGGAGAAACAGCAGAGACTTCAGCGGTGAAGTCTCACGAAGTCTGTGAAGTTTCACGAAGTCTTTGGAAGTCTTTTGAAGTCCTCTGAAGTCCCATGAAATTCTATGAAGTCTTGTGAAGTCCTTTGAAGTCCTAGGAAGTCCTCGGAAGTCTTTAGAAGTCTTAGAAAGTCTTTAGAAGTCTTTTGAAGTCTTGCGAAAATATGAAGTCACTATGGTTGAAGTCCGTTGAAGTCTTTTGAAGTCTTGAAGTCCGCTGTTTCCCCCTTGTATATATGTTTTGTTCGTTTTATTCCGATTTCGAGCCCCTTGGCACCCATCGGATTCCGACCACTCGAAAACCGTATTCTATCAGATATTCATTTTCGAGTGCTCGAGAAAAGAAACATATTAGAAGCATAGTATTGATTGCTCCAATAGAAGCAAGTCTAGCAGAATAATAGATTCAAGTGATGAGGTTAACTTTGATTTCGTGAAGTTCCTTCAAAAAGTGATTTACAAATGTTTCTTTCATTCAGCCACCTTAGTAAAGTTATTTATGTTCGATATATATTTCCCTTAAATTCATAATTTTCTAAAAAATATTTAGTAACATTAATTGATGAAAAATAACAACTAAGACTGGAATCCATAAGCGTTTTTGACAAAAAACACAACCATAACGAATTTTGTGTTTTGATTGTTTGAAAAGTTTTTTTAATATTGATTTTATACTTTATCACACAAATCAATTATTTATC